TGCGATTAAGGAGGTTAGAGTAAAAATTCCAGAAAGCCTCCCCCCCGCCCCGCCCTTGAAGTCTGCTCCAGTTCACTGTCGCAATGTAAGCGCGCTCGGCGAGTGCGGTGGCTCGAAAAAAGAAGCAAAGAGGAGAGAGGTGTAAAAAAGAAGTGACTGGACACGGAGAGACGAAAAATAGGCGGAAAAAGAGAAGGCATAGGAAAGAAGGGTGTGTGGAGTTAAAAAAAAAGAAGGAGCACTGGATGCCCCTTGAACGTGTGTGGTCTTTCGAGCAGGCAGAGGCAGCCCATGCTTGTCCGGTGACGGTGGATCGTATCGCGACTATCGGCAGAGCAACGTTTGTCTAGAGGGAAGCGCCACCGCTAGAAAATGCTACCAGACGCCCGTTAAAACTGGCGGCCAGCAGAAATGGGAAAATTAAAATAAACGAAAAAAAAAAAACAATCCCCGGGGAACCTGTTTCAGTCGGTTCGCAAATTGAAAGCGGGAGACCGAAGTGGGTTCGCGAGGAAAGCCGCGGGTTGAAAGGTTAGGGCTCGCACTTGTTCACCCCCCCCCCCCTCTGTTCTATAGGTCATCCATCTCGGGATGCCTAGATCGGCTACGGTGGCCCCTCATGAAATGTTCTAGGCACTCCCGAAGCCAGCTAAGAGCTCGAGCGCGCATTAGGCGGCAGCAGGCACCGCGACGCCTAGCGTCGCCGAAAAGTATCAGCGACTGAGCTCATTAGGCTGCTTTGTGACTCGTGTGTGACGAATCGTCTTGAGACGGTGATGGCAGAGTGGTTGCCGTAAAGCCGGCGAAGATGACGCGGCAGCGCTAAGTACGCAGTTTCTCGGCGAAATGCGATAATGACGCACGTGTCCAAGAACGACGTCGAAAAGGAAACGACGACGACGACGTCTCCCGCGCTATCGGCACTCGTATCGACCCTATCGCTCTTATATCTTCGTGACTTCGGCAAATGGCGCGCACATCCGCGCACATCCGCACACATCCCCGAGGCTCCCTTTCCGACTTATCGCTGCAGGAAGTCGATCTTGGCAGCGCATCGAGGGCAACTGCGCTCTCTGCTCTCCTCTCCGCTCGTCCTTCCGTTCGTTACGTCTTCAACGCCTTGACCGTTCGTTTATTCCTGTTCGACCTGCTGAAGCCTCCTGGATTTGGCCAATCTGTCTCCTTTCACGTGAAACGTCAAAGCTTTAAGCGCACACGATTGGGCATTCGTTCTTGGATGTTGCCGTTATTTTACGATGGAGCTGCTGGCGGATGGTTTGACCAATTCTAGACAGAATCAAGTATGACCGCGCGCTTCCCGGAAAACCATTTGGTAATCCCTTTAGGGAGCTTTCAAATGGATTCGCTTGCATCCGGCTGCATCGACTCTCTC